GCAGGTGAGTTATATATATATATATATATATATTAGTGCTGTCAAACGATTAATCATGATTAATCGCATCCGAAATGTTTATTTATTGTGTATATATAAATACACACACATACAGTATATATTTCGAAAATATTTCCATGTATATACATTTATATATTTATATTTTATATATTATATATAAATATATTTCATATATAAACATAACATATTTTTGATATGTATTGAGGGGAGGGGGACATTAAAGCACTGGTATTTCAAAGCCCTTTTTATCCAATTATCTTTTTATCCAGCTATCTTGAGATGTTCATTTTTACAAGAGTTACACAATGGGATGTAGATGCGTTATTTGAATATTTGTACACTCCCCCTTTAGGCCTACTCCCTTGAGATAGCTTTTTAGTAGAGGTAAGGTTAGGCCTAGTATCTGTCATGAGTCTTTCCTCAACAAATCCTTGCTTTTGAATTAATAGTTAAAGACAACAAATTGTCCTTATTATTATCCACAATTGTCAAATTAGGAGTCAAAATCATGTAATCTGACACAGTGACTATCGTGACCGACAAAAATATCGTCCCTCATATGAATTTACGAATTGGTTGAGTGAATGATACAACTAATTTATAATGCACAAAAGGCCACTTCCTTTTCTACGGAGCCCCGCACATGACATGCGAGAAAAAAAAAGTAAATCGTGCTCTACTTCCTGTCCGCATTCTCATAAAACAGTGTGGATGCCTCTCACTTAAAATGATGCACAAATTATTATTTGATGCGCAAAACTATATCGAGCGCACAATTTACTTAAAATTAGGGAACGAATTAGTAAATTGTGTGCACGATTTACTTTTTACCCCTGCATGTCATTTCACTTTTTGCCACCTACTGGCGTGATTAAAGAGAAAGAGCAATAGAACTAATTAGTGAATGAATTAATCTTTTTTTTTTTGGTGAACTGGTTTCAAATCTAAATTTCCGAATTAAGTTTCCAAATCAAATCTAAGCCTCTACTAAACCAGGCACTGCCAAACTTTCTCAACCGAGGAGCTCTCCATCCAGACTCTTGTTCAACTCGAAAACCTCATGACATATAAATAGCAACATTCAACATTTTAAAATTAATTCATTGCATTACTTGTGATTAAAATATTTATGTGTCTCAATTCTTGGTTGAAAAAACATTAAAAATATGAGGAAGCTGAAGTAAGAATATGTCAATCAATCATTCGCTTAGAAAAGCATTGATTTGATGTCCATCTGTTAGAGCTTTATTGTAGAGATCATATTTGACATTAGGTTTTATAATGAAAAAGAGCATGCTGTTAAAACACACTTCAGTCAGAGCAGATGCCATGTTTTATTTGTTGTGATGTGAGGACAGAAGTACAGTCTGTTCAATGTTTTTAGATGTTGTGAACCTGGTGTTTTTTTAACTTTAAACCGCATAAACACATTTCATTACACCAAATACACAAAATTATGTTCTTTTTAGCAGCATCATATGACCCCTTTAAATATTTATTTCGGTTGACAAAACACATTATTTTAAATGTGTCAAATATGATGTGTAATAAATTGGAATTGCATACAAGCACACTTTTATGCTGCTTTAGCATGCAAAAATGTCTACATACTTAATCTTATTCGAAGTACATACTTTTGGATGAGACGTTGCATCAAAGCATGGATGAGTCTGTTATGATATGTCTGTCTCCATCTGTTTTCATGCGTGTGTGAGAGAGACAGAATTAATTTGTGACATTTATATGTGTGAGGGACAAACAAAAATAGCAAGTGTCAGAGAGAATGGCAATGTACCCATGTTGTTATGTGTTTCTTTCTGACAGAGCCCATCTGCACCAAGGCATTGTCTTCACTCTGCTGTAAAGATGAGTTCTTGGCTGCTTGCTGTGTCATGGCATTTCAACACCATCAAAAAATCATTACAGACCAGAGAGGAACAGGAAGATAGACATGCCAGATGTTAGACATACATTATGTCACACAGGTAATATATCTACAACATTTTTTTGTTCACACAAACTGCATTCTTGCATTACGAACAGTTGGACGGAACATAATGTACATTTATAGGAGCTTTAACTCCCATACAGCATATCTAGAGATGCTCATCACACTCTAGATTCATCTGATTGGTCTATTGTTATACAACTGATATTGATCTGCAGTTTTCATTTTTTTCTTGACCCAGAGTCTTAAATGCTGCAAAATACAGCAAGATTCAGGGCTAACCTTGCAGTAATAATAATAATATGTTGATGATGATGGGCCTTTCAAAATGACTTATGCTTTATACTAGTGGTCTTTAAATGGGTGTTTAAAGAAGAACTACAAATTTAGGTTCCTGGAAATGTGACTTAAAGGCGTGAGATCTTAAAGAGGTAGTGCATGTTTAGACCTGGCACATTTACAATGCAAAAAAACAGCCCCCCAAACACAAACCACAAATAATGGTGCAAAAACTTCCCAAACTTACAGGGGTTTTGTCACCGTTTACTTACTCTCATGTCTTTGATTCTGTGGGATACAAAAGACGATATGAGAGTTAATTTGTCTGTACAGTGAAAGTCAATGGGGTACAAAATATTTATAAAAATGTAAAAACATTTTTTTAAATAAAAAATACAATTATACAGGTTTGGAGCAACATATTGTGAATATTTTTTTATTCAAATTTTTGGATGAACTATCCCTTTAAGTTTGAATGCAGTTTTGGCACAATGGGAACAAATGAGTTATTATTGTATATTTTATGAAAGTATAAATAGGCAGAAGTAAAGATTGACAGCTATGAATGGCTTTAGAAGACTTGGAATACTGGAAGAGTTGGATTTGGACTGTTTTGTTTTACTTTATGCCATTTTTATTGTCCTTGAAGCCACCTTTCCACTGTCATTCGCATATGATTGTATGATTGTCAACGTGTATGATACTCGTT